CTGTGAAAAGTAGAACTGGTTAGAAAATGATAAACTACTACTGCCAAAAATTGAGAATGTTGAAGCTTCTCTTTTAAAAGCATTCAACCCTGCTTTTGAAAAATATTTCTTCTCTGATTATCAATAACAGAAAACTCTTTTTTTTAAAAAAAAGAAAAGGAATATCAAAAAAGGAATATCTTTTTTCTGAAAAGAAAAAAGAAATGACTTTTTCCTAAAGATTTAATTAGAAAGCTGCTTTTAAATTATTATTTTAATGGGCAGAAATGTTCCCACTATTATCAGCAGATTATTATTGGCATATGCTGCAAGGCATGACAAACTGGTAATACTGTGTGTCATAATTTCCCTAGGTGTCCTTCTGCAAAAAATGTCTTCTGCTTGTGTGACTGGTCCTATACATGCATGTTAAAGGATTTAAGGCTCCTTTGCAGGATTAGGGTTTTAAGGACAACTCATTCCTGGTGTTAACTGCCTTCCAGTTAGACTGCATATGTTATTAATAACCCCCTTCTCTGTTTAAATTTACTTCTTCACAAGTGTATGGTTTTCTGGATAAAACCTGGATTTTCTCCTCTTACTCACACTGATAACTTATGCATTATATGAAAGGAAAAAATGGGACTGTTATAAGGAGCAGAACAGTCTTTAGATCCAATAGTTTAGTTTATCAGCCTTCATCTTGACTTGATTGGTTTTATTTCAGTCTGTTTCCTTAGGGTTCTATAAAGGTTCGTCCATGTGGGATGTATCTTCAGACATTTCCCTTCAATAGTCAGTCAGACAATTAAAATTGTGCCTTTTTAAAGGCACATAATCAAATAACTATTATGGAAGCGTATCATGATTTCATCACATTGCATAATTGCACTGTGAAATTTGTTTCAGTCTAGCACATCATATTAAAATAATCAAAGTCACCCTTCCCCCACTCCCAAGCACTTAGTACTGGGGGGAGGGGGAGAATGTGTGAAAGGCAAAGATATTTTGGGAGTAGATAAATTTCATTGAACCAACTGTGTGGGGAGGATGTTATTTTTGTGAATAGCTAACAGATTCAAAGGAAAGACAATCTGTAGGTACCTGACACTATTTCATAAAAATGCCATGCTTTTTCAGCCTTCTTTGTGATTTCTGGCCTGGATACCACAATTATTGGCATACTTAATGCCTGGATTATGCCTTATTTATCTGGTGCTGCTGTGAAGCCCTGCTCTGCTGTAAATTAGGAGCTTCACATTTCACTGTCTTCTCCTTTTAGATTCTTAAACTGCATTGCTGCACAACTGAGCATGAGTTGACAGGTTGTGTAGCTAGGTTGCCTGACCCGTGCTGCTTCACCTGGTGGAGAAATCTCAGTGTTTCTAGTGCTTCACCACCCCCTTAGTAAGAACATTTTTCCTACCATCTAACCTAAACTGCCCTTGCTGCAATCTGAGACCATTGTTCCTTGTTCCATCATCTGCCACCACTGAGAACAGTCCAGCTCCATCCTTCTTGGATGTACCTAATCCCCAGATAGTCCCAGGACTTCCTACTCTCTGTTATAAATTCCATACTGTAAGTCCTATTCCTGCATAGAAACTTCATGAGAAAAACATGGTAGTATCAAGAAATCTTGCCAGTGCTGCATAGAGCTGATAATAGCCTTATAATTAATGTTCCCCTCCATAGAGCCTTACAGGGTCTTTAAACCTCCCCTCTCTTGCCTCCATGTTTCAGACATCTATGCAGTACTTTGTGTAATAGGCAGTCAAATCCCTGCTATCAGGCATGGGAGGAAAAGCCCGAAAAACCACATGGCCCCTTTAAGGCTCGAACTTTTTGAGCTAGCAGTAGCCAGAAATTTACAAGGGAACTTCAGGGAAAACAGAGGGAACAGGGCTGCAAACACGTCAAGAACATGGACACTGAGACTTCTCCACCAGGTGAAGCAGCATGGGTCAGGCAACCAGGAAAGGGGCAGGGCCAGCAGGTATAAAAGCTTACACCGGAAGAGAGAGGGGCACTCAGGCCCAGATAACAGAAGGGAACAGACTGCTCTCTGCTGGATCAAGGGAAAACTGTGACATGGTGAGTAGACTTGTATGGGGGAAAGACTTCTGTTAAGCAAGGTTTGTGTGCATCTGACCATAGAGTGTAGGTACTCCTTCATGATCAAGAGAGAAGTATCTGCCTGCAAGCTGAGCAAACCCATAAAGACAAAGCTTCAGGTTACAGACCGTGTATGTTTAGCCAGAGTGGGAATGATCTTAAATGAGAATGTCTTTTTGATTTGTAAACCTGAAAGAGTGAAGCCTTATGTTATAGGCTGTCTCTGCTTACCCGGACTGGGGATGTGCTTTGGTTAGAATTCTTGTTTGATTAGCAAGCCTGAAAGGGCAAAGCCTCAGGTTACAGATTGGGTCCATTTACCCTGAGTCGGGGGTGAGCTTAAGTGAGTATTTTTGTTTGATTGACATCCAGTGGACTTGAAGTGGCTATAAGGGGCGAGGTGATGTCCTCATAACAGGGTGCCCAACATCCTAGGAGATATACTCCAGTAGGAGGAACAGGCAAGAGGCATAGTAAGAAAAAGCCTTAAGGGTGGAACTACTTCCATTATGAATTCAGTATGTTTAAAGTGAGACAGGTACACTTCTTGGAAATGCCCATAGGATTGCTGTAGACACGTTACAGATTTATCCTAAATGACCTGCTCTTGTTGCAGAAACTCTATAGCAGAGCAGGGAATTAAACGTGTTTTTAGAGTCCATGTCAAGCACTTTTACCACTGAGACTTTCTTCAGATTACTTTAGGTTTTAAGTTTTATGTGTCTTACTGTCGCAGAGCACCTCAGTGCTCTGCTCCTAGAGGGGAGAAACTGCCAGGGAGATAGACAGACAGAGCCCTGGCAGGTCATAATGAGCCCAGCTGAGTGTTGCCAGGGCAATGAGCCCAGCTGCGGGTTGCCGGGGCAGCTAAGGAGAGCCAGCTGTCTGTAGGAGGCAGGGCCTGGCCCTTATAAAGCCCAGGGCTGAGACCAGGTAGGTGGTTTCCTGCCAGCACCTGGAGAGGCAGGAGCTCTTTTGGGTGAGATATAGCAAGAAGCCTGACTTGCAAGTACAGCTTACTATAGCCCTGAGAGGATTGGGCACTATGGTTTAGCCAGGAGGCTCTAGTTTATGTTCAGGCTTGCATATGAGACTGGAGGTTTGGGTGAGGCTGTAGGGGTTGGAGGAGGCCTCATAGTGGGGGCTCACAGTAAAGTGGGGCCCCTGGTGCCACTGCGGGTGCACTAGGCCCTGAGAGTTGCAGGGCAGAGTTGTGGGGTCAGCTAAGCTCAGAGAAGAGTGGCTGAACCTCATAGGGACCCCAGAGGTGTGGGGCCCCTGAGTGCAACCAGTGGGTTGCAGGCGGGGAACAGACCCTGGGTTGTATGTGGGGTATGTAGACTCCAGCCCCAGAGAGGGGCAGCTATGAAATGCCCCAGAAGAGGGCACTAGCGCAACCAGTGGGTTGTGGGTGGGGAACAGACCCCAGGTTGTATGCGGGGTACATAGACCCCAGCCCCAGAGTGGGGCAGTACTGAGAAGCCCGAGGCGGGCACGGCAAGCCCCAGAGAGGGGGAGTGCCATAT